AAGTCTTTGGGATAGTTTCTTCCCACATTTCTCTTTTCTTTAGGTGGTGGATCTAACTGATGGTTCGTTGTGGTTGGCCCCTTCTCAATTTTTTTTAATTTTTTATCATTCAATGCTTTTAATGTGTCTTGCTGTATTATTTCCCACCATCTATCAACAAAGAGATTTTGGATCCCTTTGACAAAAACAGAAAGAGAATTCTGGTACATGAGTGCCTAAAAAGTACTTACATAGCTCGTGAATCAGTCATTACAGCTGTATGATCAACATAGGATGCTGCAGTACAACACTTGGGATCCTATGGTACAAACTGTTGCCTAAGCATGTAACAAACACCTTTTGAGCTATTAGCGTGGGTGGAGGGTGTCTCTGTTACTCTATAATTAAATCAGCAGGGTGCCCTGGGGTTTCTATACCACAATGCTGCTTAATTACAATAAAGCAAAACAGAAGGGCTTTTGAACAAAAATGAATGTGTGTGGATGCACCCCAAATGATTTTAGTGTGGGGCAGCTTGACCTGTAGAAATCCGGGCTACTTTTGACACTCAAGGCTCAGTTACAGCACAGCCAATGCTGCATGCCCCACAGACATGAACCACAGGCCACAAATACAGTATTTAAATGGTTTAAATGTTGATTGACCCACATGTGGGACATCTGGGCCATTTCAGATGGACCTGAGGTTGCATTCATGTTAACATACTTATCTTGAGTCAAGCCTAAATGTAGGCCAAAGGAAGCTGCAAATGTGGGCCACAGCTGGGTCAAATATTTCTTTGTAAGGTTTAGGTGGTACAGTTAAAAAAAACAGAGTAAAGGAAGCGGTACTGTGTTGAGGGAACGCCCTTCATGATAACATCTAGCATGCTCCCACCAACAAAGAACCGCTCTGTGGCTAAAATAAAACATCCCCTACTAACTCGGTGTCTTTTAAGACCGATGAACAAATACCAATCGAGACAATCTCCAAAGCAGATTGAGTGCGCAGTAGGCCTGACGTGGATCATTTCATCATCCAGTAATGCTGCATTAAAGTTGGTAACATAAAGTAATAATCGGTGCTCACTGCTGGTACATTTACGATTCTAAGATTTCAACCATAAGGACGTCCAAGAACATTATTTTATCGTTTGATTTGATGTTTAAGATTTGTGATATTAAAAACTAATAAATGGGCTCTTTACGGGCTTTCGGTAGCCAACTGGTAATAATCGCTGCTTAAAAACTAGACATACTGAGACTAAACGCACAGTTGCCAACTTGAGATCAGCCAGTGTAATTATTTAAAAGAAATAGAGCAGCATTGAAAAGCTTTTTCTGCACCGTTAGCTCACTGTGGCTAATGCTAACCCTAGGCACCGCCAGGTGGTCATGCTAGCAATGCTAAGCTAACCGGGCGGAGGGCGTCACGCGTGTAAACACAAATCTCTGATATTTGACTGAAAATGCTGCTAAAAACGGGCGCTTTTCACACGTCTATGCGTGCTTTCTCTGCTCTTACCGTGAATTCTGTGTCAGTATATGGAGTCTTTTAATCCAGCAGTTCCTCTGACGCTGCTCTGCCCCAACACAGCGCCGGTATGAAAGGAAGTGCGAAGTGCCGTATAGCGCAGTGTTTCCTGCAGTGTTACAGCAGCAGCCGACATAGTACGTCAGTTTTACGTCAGTTTTTTTTTTTTTTTTTTTACCGTCGTCTGAAATGAGCGTTCCCTAAAAAAATAAAATAACTGCTATTTTTACATTACATGAAAAAGAAAAAGAAAAATACAGGTTAATGTATGTAATTTTAATAATTAATTAGGCCAAAGAGCAAATAAATGGTTGAATGGCCCTTTGAAATGCTACTCTCAAATTCTATGCTTATGAAGTTTAATTTTCAATATTGTTACAGAGAAATACAACAATCATTCATACAGATATACTGTAGATCTTTGGATGTTGTATAATTTTGCATATTACTACATTTTTAGCCAATTTTATTTGGGTTTCATTGGCTAATTTTCGAGAGATTTTTTAATCCCTTTGCGTTAGTTACGTGTCTTTTTATTTTGAAAGAATGCATCGGATGTAAAGCTATGCTATCGGGTCTAACTTGGCAGCTGTTGTGTGCTGCAGTTCAGCGACGTCACCGCTAGAGGGTAGCAACTACATGTGTTCCTGCTAGCGGTGAACGACACAATCAAAAAATGTTTCCAAAAAAGCCTTAAATACTGCGGTTTGTCAACAGTGGTGGTGTTTTTCAATAATTGCAACAATAATCACTCAGACGTTTTGCTTTTAACAAGTATTTAAAAACTTTTCTTGTCAAAAAGTGCTGCAATTTCCCACTTTGACCACAGGAGGGCAGTGAATACTTTACATTGTGATCACCCACGGTCTCCACAAACGTCCAAAAATATATATTTACACTTCCGGGCGCAATTTCCAAAATCAAACATTCAAACAGTTGTTAAAATATCAAAAAAACAAGGTAAATGGGGTAAATATTATGTTTTCTTACGTTGATGTGTAGAAATACATTTGAAACTACAAATTATATCCAATATTCACAGCCTAAAACACCTATGCTTTCTAAAAAGCATGGAATGAGTATTATTTAATTAATTTTGTTAAGCCATTTAAAACAGGAAAGTATTTCCATATGGTCATTTTTATATGGTAATTTTTTGGTATCTTAATTTTTGTTCAGTCAGTAGCAGAATCCTGGTAAACCCATCAATTCATCCATCCATCCATCCTGAGGGTGTCATAGGGTTTGGTTACTGGGACAACAAACTCAGTTTTGAGGTTCTTTTATTTGCATTTTATGCTACTTTTTACTGCATGCACATTTATTGCACTGTACTTATCTGACAGTTTGCAGATTAAATTACATTTTATGGCTTGATTTAAACTCCTGTGTTTGAATATAAATGGAGCCTTTGGAAGCAGCTGTGAGTGATGGTGTTTCTCAGCCTATTCTTTGTGCAACTGAACCAGCGACAACTAAAAACGAGCACAACTGGAGCTGATTAACGTCAGCTAACAGTTACTACCATTGAAACTCCCGAAAGTCAGAAAGGAGATGAGACGCTCATCAGAGCTTTGTAGCAAGAGAACAGGAGACAGCCACATTAGAAAAATCATTCAGAGGATTCAAAATCATTCTGCAGATCAATATGTCATGTTTACAGATTACTATAATTATAATTACATAATTACGTATGCGTCACCACGCTGTGCAGTCACATTTGTGGGGAGCTGCACGTGAACCTGCAGCAAAACAACACTGTTTGCCACCTGAGAACTACAGGTGTGTGTGTGTTGTGTGTTGAAGGCTGGTCTGGAGGATTTGTTAATCTGTATGAGTAACACCTGGACACGTTATTGGGTTAGAAAATGCAGAAAGTGTCCCTCATCCAAGCTCCTGCTGTTGCGTTCCATATAAAGTGCTGGTTACTGAACCTTCCCACGTGTAAGTTGTTGTTTTCTTTCCTTTTTGTGTGTTGTCTTCTCTTCTTTTTGCCATTTCTGAGATGGCCTGTGAAGGTGTAGCTCACAGTGTTGGACTGTATGGACTCAACTAGAGCAACTGGAGCAAAGTTCACCTTAGAGGAAAACAGGTTTGCTTTCTGAGCATGTTTCTTTTTCTTTTCTCTCTCCTTGTTTTCTCAGCAGATACAAGATTCATACAGGTTCCATTTATTGTCAGTCCACCGTGTTTCATCTTGTCTTTTTAATGCTGCTTTATGCAAGTAATTAGAGCTTAATCTCATACACGTTCTGTCAAAAGTGCTTTGGAAATGTAAATCAGACGCACATCACCTCAGAGGCTTCTAAACGAATCCCCGATCCAATTAAGATGTTACTCATGCGGCGCAAAGGTCAGGAAATCTGATTAAAACACAAAAAGGAGTCTGTGTGCGCGACTGTTGTCAATTTGGCAGAGAGAAAATGAATTCTCCTGCAGCAGCGTCAGCCCTTCCTGCTGCTCAGGGATCAGTCGGGTGATGAATAATGCTGCCGTCTTCGCATATCTGCAAGCCTTTCTCCACATCTGCATTCTTGTCCCCGACATGTAGTCGAGCACGAACAAAACCACAGATTCTCACTGTGTAGACAACAGATACAGCACTACAGTGAACTCTGCCATTTTCCTTGTTTTGTGTGTTGATTATCTCCCGGCAGCTGGGCAGTGAGTCATATCAAACTTGCCCACAGTCGTCCTTCCGGGATTTCTGGAGCGGCGCTGACAACAGATGGTCAGCACAGTGTGTGCTAAGTGATTTTATTATGTATCCTGATGGATGTATGAATTATTTCTGTAAACCAAAAAGAATATCTTTTACACCCTCACGCAGAGGGTGTTTTGCTAGCAGGTGGAAAGGAACAACACGGCCGCCGTCTGACGCAGAGGTGTATTTTTGTCAGACTTGATGTTTCTTTGCAATTTTCAGCAGCAGCAACATCTTTCACACGACTTTGTTCTAAACCAAAGGTGTCAGACTCAGTTTTACTGAGGGCCACCGTGGGAAAATCAAGTGCCAGACATATACAGTTTACTGGCTCCAGTTTATTGAAAAATCCTTGTTTCTCCGTTTTTTCAAGTAGAAACTAAACACAGGTCAGGG